CCCAAACTGAGACCCCCAAACTGAGACCCCAAACTGAGACCCCAAACTGAGACCCAAAATTGAGACCCCAAATTGAGACCCCCAAACTGAGACCCCCAAACTGAGACCCCCAAACGATGATGATGATGATGATGACAATTCTGGCGTTGGAGAGCGATGATGATAATGATGATGATGATGATGATGGTGATGGTGATGATGATAATGATGATGATGACGATGATAATAATGATGATGATGATGACGGTGGTGATGATGACGATGATGATGGTAATGATGATGATGATGATGACGATGATGATAATAACGATGGTGATGATGACGGTGGTGATGATGGCGATGATGATGGTAATGATGATGATGACGATGATGATGTTCACAATGATGATGATGATAATGATGACGATGATAACGATGATGATGATGATGACAATGATGATGGTGTTCACGATGATGATGATGATGATGATGGTGATGATGATAATGATGATGACGATGATGATAGCAATGATGATGATGATGATGATGTTCACAATGATGATGACGATGATGATGATGATGTTCACAATGATGATGATGATGATAATGATGATGACGATGATGATGATGATGATGTTCACGATGATGATGACGATGATCCTGGCTCTGGGGGCTGCCACCGCTGACCCCAGACCCGGCGCTGACCCCTCCTCCGGCCTTTGCGGCGCGCCCGTGCCCCCCCAGGACCGCAAGCTGAGCAAGGCGGAGCAGCAGCGCTTCAAGGAGGAGGCCGAGATGCTGAAGGGGCTGCAGCACCCCAACATCGTCCGCTTCTACGACTCGTGGGAGTCCTCGCTCCGCGGCAAGAAGTGCATCGTCCTCGTCACCGAGCTCATGACCTCGGGCACCCTCAAGACGTGAGTTGGGGGGCACGCCGGGGTGGGGAGGGGTCTCCGGGCGCGGCTGACGGGACCCCGCAGGTACCTGAAGAGGTTCAAGGTGATGAAGCCGAAGGTGCTGCGGAGCTGGTGCCGGCAGATCCTGAAGGGGCTGCAGTTCCTGCACACGCGGACGCCGCCCATCATCCACCGCGACCTCAAGTGCGACAACATCTTCATCACCGGCCCCACCGGCTCCGTCAAGATCGGCGACCTGGGGCTGGCCACGCTCATGCGCACGTCCTTCGCCAAGAGCGTCATCGGTGAGCGGCGCGGGGACCTCGGGGACGCCCCCAGGGACCCCCCCTGACCCCCCTGCCCCACAGGGACCCCCGAGTTCATGGCCCCCGAGATGTACGAGGAGCGCTACGACGAGTCCGTGGACGTCTACGCCTTCGGGATGTGCATGCTGGAGATGGGAACGTCCGAGTACCCCTACTCCGAGTGCCAGAACGCCGCCCAGATCTACCGCAAAGTCACCAGCGTGGGTGTCCCACCCCTGAGACCCCCAAACCTCCCCCCTGAGACCCCCAAACCCCCCCGACACCCCCAAACCTCCCCCCCT